AAAAAAAAAAAAAAAAAAAAAAAAGGAATACCACAGGGCAAATAATTGAGCATTATGGAATTATAACCTAGAGATCATGTAGGAGAGAAACTAGTTTAAACCAGCTAGTATGGTCCTTTCTGAAGGAGTTCAACTGAAAAAGGAAACAACTTGGTGGAACGTTAGCAAGAAGCAGCACCCCCACACACCAAGCCTAGCAGCTAACATTAGGTTGTGTATTGTATAGTAACTGTGGTCATTTGACGGGTGGGAGGTAGTACTGTACTGGGGATTGAACTCAGAGAATGCTAAGCTAGGTCTCCAGCTCTTTTTAAAACTCTTGTTGTTGTTTTGAGACAGGGCCTTGCTTAATTGCCCAGGCTGGCCTCAAATCTACCATCTTCCTGCCTCAGCCTCCAGAGTAGCAGGGATTACCAAACTTTCCCACAGCAGTGGGATTTGTCTTACGTTGTACCCAGCTCCCAACTGTGTATGAGGCTTCTGATTTCCCCACATCTCACCAATATGTACTATTTTGCACTTGAAAGGAAAAATTACCCTATGGATGTGAACTGGTATGTCCTTGTGACTTTTTCTTTTTCTTTCTTTTTTGTACTGGGGTTTGAACTCAGGACCTTGCACTTGCAAGGCAGGCACAGTGCCACTGAGATAAATCCCCAGCCCTCTCCTTGTGATTTTGATTTGCAGTTCTTTAATAATAACGATGATGATGATAATCTTTTCATGTTTTCATTGGCCATTTGTCGATCTCATTTGAAGAAATACCTAGTTTGACATGTCTTTAAATTTTTCTTTAATTAATTTATTTTTGGTTTTTTGAGACAAGGTCTCACTGTGTAGTTCAGGCTGGCCTTGAACTCAGCGATCCTCTTGTAATCCAAGGGCTGGGATTATAGGCATGCACCACTATGCCTGGCTACTTGCCTTTTTGTTTTGTTTTGTTTTTTTCATACCGGGGATTGAATTCAGGACTTTGTGCTCTCGAGGCAGGTGGCATCACCAATGAGCTAAATCCCCAGCCCACTACTGGCCTTTTTAATAATTATTTTGTGTGTGTGTGTGGCACTGGGTATCAAATTTAGGACCTTGCACTTGAAAGGCAGGTGTCAGAACCACTGAGCTAAATCCCAGGCTATTTTTTTTTTTTTAAATCACTACTGGGAATTGAACCTAGGACTTTGCTCTGATCTGCACCCCCAGTCCTGTCTTTGCATTCTTTTATTTTGAGAGAAAGTCTGCCCTTAAATTTGCAATCCTCCTGTCTCAGCCTCCCAGAGTGCAGGGATTATAGGCGTGTGCCACACACCTGGCTTCCCCAAATCTTTTCAAAACTTTATGATGAGACATGATCTTACTAAATTGCCCACGTTGGCCTTGAGCCTGTCATCCTCCTGCCTGTACCTCCTGCACAGCTGGGACTACAGGTGTGTGATTACACCACACCACACCACACCACACCAAACCTTACCTTTTCCTCTCCTCCAGGTCCATTATTTAGCAAAGTCTCTTCAGCTCATGTAGCTGTAGTATTTCAAAGTCTTAGAAACTAAGTGAGTGTTTGTGGTGTTTCTTATAACTCGAAGCACTTTATTTCAAATTCTAACAAGAGAAAACCCGATTATTAAAGGATTCAAACCATTACCTTGAAGTTGGAGTCAGAGTTCGCAAGGCTAAGTGGGATATAAGGGAACCTAATACCCTTTCTTACCATACCTGTGTTTGGAATTTTGCAGGTTCCCGTTACCTAGGAAGGGAAATGAAGGCAGGTGGGACATGACAGGGAGTTCCACTTGGGGCATGTGGGATTTCTGTGTTCCTGGAACATCCAGACGGAACTGGTGCTGGTTAGAGCAACCACGGGATCAGGTGAGAGCTGGTGGAATCTAAGGTGAGATCAAAAAGCACGATGAGTGTTTAAATTTTCAAAAATCTATTACTGTAAAAGCTGGATTGCTGTTTACACCCTTCAGATCCCTCCACCCTGCTCTGACCACACCTATCCCTTAGTTTTCACCACTTTCTGCAGCAGTTCTGCAATCCTCTTTCATGTTTTTTGTTGCACTTGTGGCTGCCTCAGTGTCCGGAATAGATTCTCAACCTTTACCTTTCATGATTGCTCTGACTTTGGGGAAAAACCAGAAGCCACCCAGGGCCAGATCCACTGAATCAGTTGGATGAGGACCCACCATGATATTTTTACCAGCTTGTCTTTCCTCTGCATGGCACTCAGCAGGAGCATTTGCTGAATTTTTTTTTTTAATCACACCTTGTAAATACACTCACAAAAGGGGATCTCCACACCTGGTTCAAAAAGTGACAAGAAGGATGGGATTAAATGATTTCAAAGTGCGGGGGAGTGTTTTGAGGGGAATGAAGAGCAGTATGCCTTTTACTGCAGTGAAACAAAACATTTTTAAAACATTTACTAAATTTTGAGCATTCTTTTTTTTTTTTTTTTTGAGACAGTGTCTGCCTATGTAGTTCAGGCTGGCCTTGAATTTGGGGCGATCCTCCTGCCTCAGCCTCCCAGGTGCTGAGACTATAGATGTGCACCACAATGCGCAGCTGTTCTCTCTCTTTTTTGGGGGGGAGGGTACTGGGGGTCAAACTAAGGACCTTGCATTTGTGAGGAAGGCACAGTGCCACTAAGCTAAATCCCTGACCCCGCCCCCACAGCTGTTTTGATCATACTTCTTAGATCTAGAATTACCGGTGTAGAGATGGCCAAGAAGCCTTACTTTGAATAAGTGGGATCTTCAAAGGAATGGTGATGGTGGAGGTACCTTTGGAGAACCCATAGCACTGCCTCTCTATGTATAAAGTACCTGAACCCACTCCCTTCTTGGGAAAATGAATGAGAAAGTCAAAATTTGGAGATTTGGTGAAAGCAGATTTTCATGAAACATTTCAGGACTGACAAGATTAAAAAAAAGCATTTAGCTAGTATGCTGAGCCTAGAGAAATTGGTGGGCCAGTTGATCTTTGTTTATTTGCTTGTTTGTTGTTTGTTTTTTGAGACAGGGTCTCGCTCTGTCGTTCAAGCTAAGTTTGAACTGACTATGGCAATCCTCCTGCCTCAGCTTCCCCAGCGCTGGGATTATAAGCATGTATTACCACACCTGGCTGCCAGTTATTTTAACTGTCAGCCTGATTGGATGAGACTCCTGGATCACAGAGGCATTATACTCATCAGTGGATTAGTCCATTGCATTCATAGAGGAGGTTCTGTTAGGTGGGGCTGGGTTGGAGGAGGAGTCCTTGGGGCCTACTTTGGGGACACCTGTCCATCTCCCAGGTGCCTGTCTGGAAGCCAGGCAAATGAGCTGCAGTACTCTGCCTCCCCTCCTCTGTGCCACTCCTGTCTTGGAGCCAGCAGCCACAGACTGACAACTCTGTCCTCTAAGTGTGGGCGTCAGTCACTTTGTCTCAGCCGCAGGAAAGCTGACTGCTACACTGTTCTGTGTACTGGAAATAATTGAGTTGGATCAACCAAGCGCTCTGCAGTATTCTGGCACTAAGGAAAAGCTCAGTTGAAAATAATTTTTTTTAAAAAGCCAAATGTATAAATGAAAGTTCTCCACATACCTAGGAAAATCCAGCAAAGAGACAAAAACAGCAAAAACTAGAATACTAAAATTATAAAATGTAGAGCTCCAATATTTAATGTGACAATTTTTTATCTTAAAATTATTATTCTTGTATTACTTCTATAGGTTAGGATAAAATATTCAAACAATAAAAAATGTGCAGAGTAAACACCAAGCATGGTGGTGCACACCTGTAGTCCTAGCACTGAGGGAGCCTGAAGCAGGAGAATCACAAGTTCAAGCACAGCCTGGGCAATCTGGTGAGACCCTATCTCAAAATAAGAAAGGGGTGAGGGCTGGAGATGTAGCTCAGAAGCGCAGTGCCTGGCTGGCAAGAGTGAGGCCCTGAGTTTGATTCTCAGTACAAAAAAAGGAGAGAGAGAGAGAGAGAGAGAGAGAGAGAGAGAGAGAGAGAGAGAGAGGAGATGACAAATCTGATATAAAAGATTATTTTTTTTTACTGGTTTGCTGTGGGCACATGAAATGTCCTAATGTTAATATTCTCATTAGAATATTTTTTTTGTACCAGGGATCATTACAATATTTATAGGGCCAACACCAACACTTTGAGTCTTAAAAGACTCATTTTAACAACTTTTGAAAATTTATGAAACAAAACAAAACAGAATTGAAAGCAAAACAAATCAAAACAGGGCAGGAACTTAAATTCTGAGACCAAATGTGAAAGTCAGATTTGGTGGCTCTAGGTGACAAAGGGGACTCCCTGAGGGATGGATGGGGAGCAGTGGGGTGGTCAGAGACGGTTTCTCATCTGGCCTTTGTCCCACTGATTCCATCACTCCTGGTGTGGGATTAGTCCCAACTCGGTTTTCACCATTTGCCATTTGTCTTCTCCCTTGTTTTCTTCTTTCTGTTCAGGCTGCTGATTATTCTCCAGGAGGCTCTTCTAGCTCCAGCCACATTTTTACATGCAACAGATAGGAGGTTTCTTCCGCTGTCAGCTCCATATCCATTCCTGCTACTTTCTTCATTGATTCAACCATTACCTTGATCCATTCACCCTGCCCAGCCAGCTTCACCTGGTGTCCCAGATCCTCCTGATCAGCCTCTGGCAGGGGCTGCATGACGGATGGAAGCATTTGGGCAGCAAAAATCTATTTTCTGGCTTTTCGAGACAGAGCCTCCCTTGAAATCAGCCTGGCTTTGAAGCTTGAAGTCATTATGTAGCCCAGGCTGACCTTGAAGTCTCTGTGATCCTGCCTCAGCCTCCCCAGTGCTGGAATACATGCTAAAAATTGCTTCTGTTTGTTACAAAGTAGACACATCATAAAAAAAGAGCAGTTAAGGCCTGGAATTTAGCTCAGCGGTTCGGTGGCCTGCCTTGCAAGCGCAAGTACAGTTCAATCCCCGGTACCAAAAAAAAAGAGCAATTAAAAGTTACTATTTTGGTTATTGAAATTATTTATGTGGCTAAATAGATGCATGAGAAGACAAACTTGTGAGATTACTATCTTTATAGGGATATTTTTAAGTTTCATCTACACGTAGTTGTTCTGAACTCTTATTATCAAGGGCTCATTATTATTATTTTTTTGTTTTGTTTTGTTTTTTGAGACAGGGTCTCACTATGTAGTTGAGACTGACCCAGAACTCACTCTATAGCCCAGGCTGGGCTCGAACTTGCAGCAATACTCCTGCCCCAGCCTCTTGAATGTTGAGATTACAGGCATGTGCCAGCACG